TTTTTTTCCAAATAGGTTGATAAATAAACTCGGTGGGCCAGTTCCTGTGGTGGTATGAACTGGAGTCACTCACGTAATGTCAGTGATGCCATCTGGGCTGGCAGCAGCTGAGCATTTGATATTTTTCAGATTTTTCTCCTCTAAATTTGCCTGACACCAAAACCACACCTACCCCCATGAACACTGGAGGAAAATAGATTGAGAACAGAGCAAAAATCCTGACATTTCCTGACCAAAAGATTCAGAGGAAAATAAATCCTGAGACCAACTGAATGTCACTTATGTTAAGATTTATTGTTTGTCATTATCCGCTTGGAGACTGGAGCAGGAAAGAGAAGATGGACATTATTCCCAGGAAAAAAATGCTCACACTTCTGGAGTGGAAGACTCTTTAGAGCATTTTAGAGATATTTGTTGTTAAAAGTTAATAGGAAAAGAGAGAAGAGAAATGGCAAGCAGACAGAAGAGGCTTTTGGCACATAAGCCACCATTACATGGAGATGAACGTAGGAGTTTGGATTTGGCCTGTTCCTTGTCGCTGTGGCTCTTACTTGGGGCACTGTGGAGGGATCTTGCAGCACTGCTTGCTCTGCTGACAGCACTGCACGGGTGGGCAGCATTGCTGCACGGGGACACAGCACTGCGGCAGTTGTGGGCAGCATTGGGGAACAGGACAGACAGGCACAGGTTCCTCGATGACGCAGTTAATGGATGAGCTAGAGTCATGGCAGGATGATTCATGACTGTGGCATCCATGGGAAGAGGATCCGTGGTCGTGGCAAGATCTGCGAGAGCACATCTTTGTGTTGTGTGGGCAAAGCTGCAAGAAATGGGGAGTGGATAAGAGGACCCCAGGCTGATGTTCACGTTTCTCTCCTGTGTTTCTGAGGGACCCTGGGGACACTGTTTTCCTCTGAACTTCTAAGTTGGTTTAGACATGATCCCACAGAGCTGCTGTCTGCTCTGTCTGGTATTTCTGGGCTTAGACCATGGCCAACCAGCTATTGTGGCTATTTCCAGCTGGATGCACCTGGCTTCAGAGAGATCTGAAATACTCCAAAGACACTGTATCTTCTCCCAGCATGTCACCAGGAAAGACTTATGGAACTTTTTTCTGTCTCCCCAATGACTTATTTTACCATCCTTCAGATTTCTCCCTTTTATACAATATTCCACCCATCGTCAGAGCATCCTGAGCAGGTCTTTCGTATTACCAGCCAGGCAATCAGAATTTGGGCTTAGGCAAAACCCCTCTTCAAAACCCATTGATATTTTACAGACCCTCTCTCTAAAAAGATACTCTAAGAAAGCTGATGCTCTGAACTGTAAAGAGAAAGAGTTTACTCAGACTTACCCCGCTCAGCAGAAAGCAGAAATGTGGAGAGAGATGATGAGTTGAATGAGGGGGACTGGGATAGGAGAGCTTTTATATGGTGTGGAGCCATTCTGTGGGAAGTGAGGTGCCTGTCGGCAATGCGGACTTCATTCCTGACATGCCAGGATCCCTGTACATCCGGTGCATCAGTCTTGTGGCAATTACTGTTTGATGCATTTTTATACTGTAATACCTAACTCACTGCAAATGAATCCATACATCCGGCTGGGAACCTGGCAGGCGCTTAAAGGTCTGTTCTCACAAATCCTTCAGTGGCATGTAGGAATGTGACTACCAGAGAGAGAAAATGATTTCCCAAAGGGCAACCCATATCACTGAGTCAGTGGAAGGGTGTTTACCTGTGGGAGATGCCAGCTCCTCCTGGCATGCTATGTAGTGATGGGGAAGCCTGGGTGCATGGCTGTGAGGCCCCCAGGGAGACAATGCTGGAGGTGTGATTTAGGAGTAGGAGGACCTGCTTCTCAGTCTCATTCTTCATGTACCCAAACTATTTTAGTGATAGAATATCTTGTCTTACCAGTACTTTGGAGGTTATTGCAGCTTTCTCTTTGTTACGCATTGTCTATAGTGACTTATAAAAGTTTTTTTTAGCTATCATTAAGTAATGAATCCAATTAATAAAATAAGAGACCTGGCATTCAAAGATATAAATGCAATCCCCCAAAAATACAGAGAGGGAGAGACAGAGAGTGTTTCCTTAACTCAAGCCCATGTCCACTAGAGTCTCATGTTCTTTCCTTTTCTGTCTCTGATGGCTCTTTATGTTTTTTGTGGTCCCTTCCAGTCCTCATGTGCTATGATTCTCGCTTCTACAAGAGGGAGCAGAAAGCAGAGTAGCAACGCAGGCAGAGGAAGGGGATGAGAGTGGCACTCAGGCTGGGTCCTGGGAGAATTTCTGGCTCTCCTGTCACAAAGCTGTGCCCCCACTGAGGTGGAGCATGGCACCCAGATGCTCAATGTGGAGAACGTGTGCAGGATCTGGGCTTAGAGGCCGCTGATAGGAAGCTGTGGAGGTGTGTGCCCAAACTTCCCTTTGTCTCAGGGTTTCAGGAGTTCTCCTTTTACTGAGGAAAGGGAAATCTCAGAGAGGGTGTTCAAGCATATAAAAGTCAGACCTTGGGAAGTGGATCCCTGGTGCTAGGAAAGATCATACCCATCTAAACCACCCTAGAGCTGTGTTTGTCTCACTTATCTTATAAACTCCAGGAGCAATCCTCATGCACATTAACTGTGGAACTGTGGAAGAGCCTTGACGCTGGTATGTGGTGGGCCAGCAGGGGTTTCTCCTGCCCTGAGTCACCCACCTCGCTGTGCCCAACCACGTTTCAGACTCCTGGGAGTGCCTGGAAGTGCCTACCTGGGGGTGCCTCATATCGGGCTGACCCACTTCCTGAAGCCCACCCACAAGCCAAGAGGTAACGCTTCCACCACCCAGAGTCTGGATTGATCAGGGACCTACCCTCCCTAGAAAACACAGTCCTAGTAGTTCTTGAGTGTACTTGACCTACTGCAAAAACTTGTGACTGAAGCACAAATAATGGTCTCCCTTAGTCACCCAAACCAAGGAGACCCCAAGGCATACTCTAGACCCTCTCCCAATAAGTCTTCCATGCTAGCTACAAAGGAGAACTTCATAGGATACAAGGAGTAGGTTTGGAATAGGGTACAGGGTAGAGCAATATCAGAGAAATCCCTTACAGCAAAGTGGCACGGTAGCCTTTGATTAAGCATTTGAGTTACTGCAAGCTATATATCTCATTAAATCTCAGGTAGCTTACTCACAGGTTTCATCCAGAGGCAGGTTGAGATTCCCTCTGGAGGTAAGCAGTTCATTGATCATGAGTTTCAAGAGAGAGCAAGTTTCAGATGGTCCAGCTTCTCTCTGTTTTCTTCAAGGCTACTTCCTTCCTCCTGGGTAGTCCTTCACTTATATAGTGCTTATGATCTCATTTACCTGATCCAATGAAGGCAAGCAGCTATTGGCTGCCGCCAACCAATTTGAAATACATCACTGGTTGCCAGGTAGACTGGCAGGGTCTCTAGTTCCTTCCCAATCATGTTGGCATAGGGAGTTTGAGCTCCCCACCCCAGTATGTGATGCCAGTCATGTAGGCAGAGGGAGGAGGTTTCCCCCCTCCCTCAGCAATGTATCCTTCTCAGGTTACAACTCAGGGTTACCTATAGAGATGGGGCAGAGGTGTCTGCCCCTTGCAGTGACCATGGTAACCAAATTGTCAGATAGCAAAGCTTAGGGAGAGACAGGGATGGTATTCTGCCACAGGGTCCACCCCACCTTCCTAATTGTGAAGCCTAGTGGTTAGGGCCTTGCATGGTGGGAAGGAGGGAGGCTTGGTTCTGATCTCTGTTCCAAGCCTTACCTCTGTTTTAACCAGTGCCTATCGTGTAGGATGCATACCAAGTGCTGGGAACAAACAAGAGGGGGCATGGCTGTCTTGCTTAGGGGGTACATGGCTTCCCTTTGAGGGCCAGATTGGGGCAGTGAGAGCTGGCGCTTAGACTACAAGAAAGGATTGTGGTGTGGACTCAGGGAAGGCAGTATGAATTCCTCAGGGATGCTGAGAGGATGAATCACTGTCCAAGTGAGAATTAAAGAGTTCCTGACACATGGCCAGGCTCTGCCAACTGGTCTGTAATTGTTCTAGAATTAGTTGTGTGTCTGACCCTGCAGACATTGCACTGATTGCATTTTTGCAACATTTTGCCAGCAGGGAACAGAGCCAAGAGTCTGAGAAATTAATGTGAAACTTGAATTTGTTTTGGCTCCTCAACAAAAAAGGTGTTTTCAGATTCTGTCTTTGCTTTGTGTCATTTGACATGGGCATGTATTAAACACATTTCTTGCTTGCTTCCTCTGAAATGTTGGTTAGGCAGACTTGATCTGCAAGGCACTGATGGTAAATTTCTAAGGTTTTAATAGTAGTGTCAAGGAAGGAAAACCTGGCCCTGGTGACTGCAGGGTATTGGGGAATGAATTTTGTGCTCTGGTCCCAGTTACCAAATAAAAGGAGTCAGTGGTGGCATTATGAGCAGGTGGCTGCTACCCAGTGGTTTGTATCCAGAGCTCAATTCACTGGTGCATTGAGCTTCACCTGGGATGAGCTTTTTTTGTGTTCAGCACCACTCATGTTCCAAGGATCTTACAATCTGAATACCTGGGAGAAGCTGGGGTGGGGAGAGCTATGAAGTATTATTTTCCTGGTTGGGAAGATGCAGGGAGATGAAGATCTGTAGGTATGCAAGAAAAGGCAGTGAGATGGGGTTTTGTGGAGTATCTTGGAGTTCAAGTGCTGTTAAAAAGAAGGATTGGAGCCAATAGAGAAAGGCATTTGGGGCAACCTTGCCAGACCTGTATTTGCACATACCAAGGTATGATGATCCTCCTTAACTAGCACAAGTGGATGGAGGACTTGTGACATTCTACGTTGAGGGCACTGATTCAAGCCAAAGTTTACCCTGATTATAGCTGGATTTATTATTCCCTAATAATCATTCCTTGATTATATTCCCGAGCTAAGGACACAGACTGAAAAAGATGACAGAAATGACCAGAGTCAAAAGTAGATAAATCCCCAGAGAGTGCTGCTTTCAGGAAAGACGAGCTTTATTGTATTTGCATCAAATTTGAGACTGAAAAAGGAAATGAGGTAGAAGAAGGACTGTGACACACACAGAGCAAATGTAACTCCACACATGACGTTTCGTAAGAATACATCTCTCCATGCTGGGGGTGATGTCTCCAACCATGTTACAGACATTTAGTGATGAAAGTAAATGGATAAAGGAAAACAAATGACTGATGATGAATGCAGATAGAAGAGGCTTCAGGCAGGTAAGCCACTATCCCAAGGAGATGAATGGAGTGGGCAGATCTTGACATTCTCCTCGTCGTTGTGGCTCTTACTTGGGGTACTGTGTTGGAAACTTGCAGCACGGATTGCTCTGCTGACCGCCATTCACAGGGGGGCAGCAGGGCTGCGGGGGACAGACGGGCACAGGTTTCTCAATGACGCAGGTAGTGGATGAGCTAGAACCATGGCAGGACGATTCATGTCCGTGGCATCCTTGGGATGAGGATCCATGGTCGTGATGAGATCCATGAGAGCCCATCTTTGTGTTGTGTAGGCAAAGCTGCAAGAAACAGAGTTTGGATGAGAGGGACCCTGGGGCGATACTTACATTTCCCTCCTGTGTTTCCGTAGGGGCCCTGCAGACATTGCTTTCCTCTGAACTTCTAAGCTGGTTTGGACATGATCCCACAGAGCTGCTGTCTGCTCTGTCTGGTATTTCTGGGTTTAGACTATGGTCTCTCAGCTACTGTGGCTGTTTCCAGCTGGATGCACCTGGTTTCAGGGAGGTCAGAAATACTCCGAAGACACTGTATCTTCTCCAAGCATGTAGCAAGCAAGGGATATTGACCTTTTTTTGGTCTCCACAGTGACTTCTTTTACCATCCTTCAGCTCTGTGCCTTTGATACCATATTCCCCGCATTGTCAGTGCATCCTGCGCAGGTCTTTGGTGTTAGCAGCCAGGCAGTCACAGCTTGGGCTCAGGCAAAGCCCCTCTTTAACACCCACTGATATTTTTCATACCCTGTTCTCGAAAAGATACTTTAAGAAAGCTGCTGCTCTGAATCCTAAGGAGAAAGAGTTTACTCAGACTTACCCCGTTCAGCAGGAAGGAGAAATGCGGAGAGAGATGCTGAGCTGAATGATTAGAACTGGGACGGGAGAGCTTTTATATGGTTTGGAGCCATTCTGCGGGAAGTGAGGTGCCTGTCGGCAATGCGGACTTCATTCCTGACATGCTGATATCCCCGTACATCTGTTTTATCATTCTTGTCACAATTACTGTTTGACACATTTTTATCCTCTGATACTGTCTTGTCCTACCTGATTCACTGCAAATGAATCCATACATCAGACCGGGAGTGAGGCAGGCACTTAAGGGTCTGTTTTCACACTGAACCCTTCAGTTATCAGTCTGGTCACAATTAGTGTTTCATACATTTTTATACTGTGATACTGTCTTGTCCTACCTGACTCACTGCAAATGAATGCATACATCAGACCAGGAGTGAGGCATGCCCTTAAAGGTCTGTTGTCACATTGAACCCTTCAGTGGCATGAGGTAGAAGAAGGACTGTGACACACACAGAGCAAACGTAACTCCACACGATGTGTCGTAAGAATACATCTCTCCATGCTGGGGATGATGTCTCCAACCATGTTACAGACATTTGAATACCAGAGAGAGAAAATGATTTCCCAAAGGACAACCCGTATTACTGAGTCAGTGGAAGCGTGGTTTCCAATGGGAAATGCCAACTCCTGCTGGCATGCTATGGTGTGATGGGGATGCGTGGGTGCATGGCTGCGGGGCACCCAAGGAGACAATGCTGGAGATGTGATATAGAAGTAAGAGGACCTGCTTCTCAGTCTCATTCTTCATGTTCCCAAATTCTTTCACTGATATTATAACTTGTCTTACTAGTGTGTTGCAGTTTATTGTAGCTTCCTCTTTGTTATGTAATGTTTATTGTGGCACTTTTTTAAAGCTTTTTCAACATTAATTAATTAATTAGTCCATTTAATAAAATAAGAGACCTGACATTTAAAGATATAAATGCAATCCCCCCAATAACACGTAGGGAGAGAGAGAGTGCTTCCTTAACCCGAGCCCATGTCCACCTGAGTCTCGTGTTCTTTCCTTTTCAGTCTCAGACGGTTCTTCATGGTTTTGTGGTCCCCTCGAGCCCTCATGTGCTATGGCTCTAGCTTGTAGAAGGAGGGAGCAGAAAGCAGAGTAGCAGTGCGGGCAGAGGAAGGGGATGAGAGTGGCACTCAGGGTGGGTGCAGGGAGGATTTCTGGCTCTCCTGTCACCAAGCTCTGCCTCCACCGAGGTGGAGCATGGTGCCCAGATGGTCAGTATGGGGAACGTATGCAGGATCTGGGCTTAGAGGCCGCTTATAGGAAGCCACGGAGGTGTGTGCCCAAACCTCCCCCTGTCTCAGGAGTTCATGCCACTGAAGGATTTGGTGTGAGAACAGAGCTTTAATGTGAATAACAGAGAGGGAAAATGATTTCCCAAAGGACAACCCATATTACTGAATCAGTGGAAGGGTGCTTACCGATGGGAAATGTCGCCTCCTCCTGGCATGCTATGTAGCGATGGGGAAGCGTGGGTGCATGGCTGCGGGACACCCAGGCAGACAATGTTGACAGTGTGATATAAAAGTAGGAGGACCTGCTTCTCAGTCTTGTTCTCCATCTACCAAGATGCTTTTACTGATAGGATAACACAACTTACTAGTGTGTTGGACTGTATTGCAGCTTCCTCTTTGTTATGCACTTTTTATAGTGGCATTTGTACGTGCTTTTTTAGCTTTAATTAATTAATGAATCTAATTTGTAAAAAAAAGACACCTGAAATTTAAAGATATGAATTCAATCCCCAACAAAAATACAGAGAGAGAGAGGGAGAGAGAGAGAAAGAGAGAGAGAGAGAGAGTGCTTCCTTAACCAAAGTCCATGCCCACTAGAGTCTCACATCCTTTCCTTTTCAGACTCTGATGGCTCTTCATGTTTTTTGTGGTCCCTTCTGTGGCAGAAATGCCCCCGTCGGTGCCCCTCTCCAGAGATCTGTCTCAGCCAGCCCGAGAGGCTGCTGTTGAATCTCTCACAGCGGGGATCTCGCTCCTTGTCTGCAGACAAAAGCCTGGCGCCTGGGAGGCGATGCTCTGGTCACCTGGGCAGGGGGGGGAAGACCCGGCCCTGCGCGCGGGCCCAGGTAGCCAGGGATGCTTTGCAGATTGGACGGTTTGTAGCCAGTATTGGCAGCTTCGATTGGACCGGCTGCTGAGGTCAGGGAGGTTTTAAAAAGGCCTGGGCCAGGAAGAAGGGGAGCCATTATCCATGCGGTCATCCAGGTGAATCTGAACCTGGCTCTCTCCTCATCACCGCATGCT